TTTTTTTTCACCGATGGATATAGCCATCGCATCAAGCAGGGAGGGTGTAAGGATCCTCCATTCGACTCTAGAAGATAGTTAAATCTCGTTCTCAGATCCTTTCGAGCCCTCTTTCTTTATTTCCACACACGACAGTCGTTTTAGTCACACGACAGTTAGTCTTCTTTAAACGGTTAGTCAGTATTCATTTTTCTAGCGTGAATATATACATTCATTTTCTTCGTCATAGACTGTTTTTCTTTGTGTTTATTTTATTTTTTATTTTCCTGTTTGCTATACACACATATAGATTATATGTATGTCCATTTTCGTTCTAGTTTTTTCTTCTTGTCTCTTATATTTAATCTCTTAGTTTGTCAATCTGATTTGTTATTCGTATTTTTTCGTTTTTTAAATATATTCGTATAATCACTGTTAATTGTCTCCATACTCGTTCGTCTTACGCATTTATTACTGTGGTCCTTCTTATCTCATCGTAGAGTGATATCATCCAGTAACAGGCCTGGGTAGACCTAGCTTCTAGAGTTTTCCCATTATTTAGACTCACCGGAGGATAGGAGAGCTGAAACCATCTACCTACACGCAATGATGATATATGCATTTCACCACGATTTCCTTTCCAACTGAAGTCAAAAACTACACTATCAACCTAGATATGTATCAACTCGATATATTAAATGAGCGTCCAGCATATGTTGAACCTAATCCAATCATAGGACTCCGTCGTCCGCATCCTCAACCCCCTGTAACGGCTGCTTTGTCGTTACTAAGTTTGTTCTCTCCTTTTCCTTTCGAGTGAAGAAAGGTAAAAGCTTTGCTTGGCGGAATGTGTGAAGAAATAGAAAAAGTTCTTTTAAGAAATCAACTCATAAAGAATTAATTTCCGTTTCCACGCGTTACACGAAAAACGAGTGAAAATCGGATCTAATTTCGTTCAGAAATATGACTTTTGTTACTTTTTCTCAAAACATTGGAACCAATCTTCTTTTCACTTTACTTTTCAAAAAGTAGAGTTTTCGATTTTTCTTTCATTCAAGTTTTTAGTCTTCTTCTTTTATCATTCAAATAAAAGAAGAAATTTATTTTCAATTATCATATTATTTAGTACGAATCGGTTTTCTTTAACTTAATTTAAGTTAGTCCATTTTCATTTCGTTTGCGAATTTCTTTTACTCCTCCTCCTATTGAAAACATCGACTTCGATTTAATTCATTCAGCATCATCTTACACAAGAGGAAGGAGCACAACATCACCATTCTTATTATAGAAAAAGAAGACTAAAACTATTATTCATATTATTGTGAATATTTTGACATTGTAAAAATGAGTTCCTATTTTTATTGTGATATAATAATAATAATGTGTTGTGCTGGGAACAACATCTGGGATTTACTTTGTGCAAGCTTGTAGAGAAGGGCCTACGTGAGCAGCTTCTCGTGAAGTATTTTCGTGAGTACATCTTCCATTTTTCTGTTTTACTAAACATTCGGCGTCGTTTTTACAAAGTATATATTTTTCTATTAAGAATAAAACCAAAATTACAAAAAAGTCCTCTTTCGTTATTATTTATTCAAGCAACGTCCTTTATCTATTCCTTGCGCTTTATTTCACCTCTCGTACTTATCTTAGTACACAAAAACATCAAAAAATCAAAACACGAATTTTTCAAAAATTTCGTAAGCTCTTTCTTTTCTTTTTGTTGTCTTTCCGCTTTGATTCTGTTCTTCTTCGATCTATTATTAATTGTCAAACACCCCTCACCCTCATCCTCAAATTTCATTGCTGATTCATAAGCAGCAAAAGAGGAATTTTTGTTCATGACTAAAGGTTGCAAACTTCGACAAAAATGCGTCACTCGTACATCCAACGATTAAAAGGTAAATTGCAAGTAAAAACTTGAGCGTAACTGGACTTCTCAGTGGGTGTCCATGGATGTCTGTGTGAGCGTCCGTGTGTATACATGAATATCTGTGTGTATCCGTGCGGATGTCTGTGGTAGCCGTACGTATGAGTGAGTGTACTATCGAATATGATCTTACGCACGAATAACATTTGACTCTTACTGTTTCCTATCTAGTTAATCTGTAGGTTTCTTTCTCGTGTTAGTACCAACTTTTCTCGATAGAGATAATATGCAGCTAAAGAATTTTATTCTTCGATATAGTGTGAGAAATGTTGATTAATACAGTAAATACATCTTGACTCTCTCAAATTTAATAACCCTAAGTTTACACTATCGGAAAATATGAATGAGACGTCAAACTTCATCTTGTCTTAAAACTCCGTAAGCAATTTAGAAAAGAATGACAAATATATAATTCCATGCAGAGTGAAAAGGTGATTCAAATCAAGTAATTTTCATTCGATTTTGTGTATGATGTCATGTCAAAGAGGCATTTTACTTTATCTTATCTTCTTAGACTTTGCACTATTTATGTAAAATGATTGATCTTACCCGGATTGATCGCATGCGTCATAATGATTAAATTCGGGGTGTAGTGGTGCTTGCAGTAAAAGTCCTATATTTTCATTAAAGCAAAAGCTTTTTCGATCGGGTTTGGTTTGTTTTGATCAGAAATGATTGCTTTTCTATTGCTAACTGCAAAATCAAAACTTTGATCATATTTTCCATTTCTTGCTTTGGCACATTGTTGAAAACGGGGAGAAGTTTTTGAAACTTCGTTCTCCAGTACACCATTTGCTCAAAAATTCCTTTTTTTCAGACCACGAGAAAGAGTATATTCAAAAGTACAAAAAGAACTGAGTTTTCACGGTTGCTACACTTTTTAAGGAAATGACAGCAGAAGAAAAACGGTCAAGTCGAAAAAAATACCAAATGTACTAAGTTTTCAATTTTTCCGCCTTTCGTATAATTTACGTAGTTTTCTTGATTGAAGTTCTAAAACTAAAGTTTAGGTATAGTTTTCTAGAGTATTTCGTGGCGCATCTTTTAAAAAAACACTAACCGTGAGATCCTAAAGGAACACGAGAAAAATAGAAAATACTGAGAGGCTCATTCATTATGACGCATGCGATAGAAACTTCCATAATTGTACAGCCAATAATCGTCGTACGGAATATCAATTATACTCGTCAATCCCATTTTTAATGGGCATTAATTTGGTATATAATACTGTGTGATATCATTTGCAGTTTGAGCGGTACCCCCCTTGAATAATATTATTTACCACCCTGTATATATCGAAAAGTTAGTAACAGAATGGGTAAAGATCTAGTACTATTTTCGATTGTAGAAATATGTAGATGTGAACATATAATTCATTGTTTAACAAATAAGAAAAATATTTATGAAATAATTGTATATCTGTCAAAATGTAATTTTTGAGTCACAGACCAATTAAATTTCTCGAAGGTATATACAGTTCAGTATCCGCGGTAAAATAAGATGTCTCTTAGTTCTCTGTGAAATTTCCCATGGAGGTATAGCATATTTATAATTGATCGTTGAACTATCGAAAATTCACCATTTTTGGGTATTAGTAACACCCACGGACATCTGCACGGACACCCACTGAAAAGTCCAGTTACGCTCAAGTTTTTACTTGCAGTTAACCTTTTACTCATTGGATGTACGGATGACGCATTTTTGTTGAAGTTTGTAGCCTTTATTCATGAGCAATAATTCCTCTTTTACTGCTTATGGATCAGTAATGAAATTTTTTTTTTTTTTTTTATCATGTTTATAATATGAGATATATACGCACACAAAATGAATGGTTAGAGTTAGAAACTCAGAAAAAGAAAATTATGAATGACATTAGATACTAACGTTTAAAAAGATTTCGACATTAAAAAGAAAGAGCCTTAACTAGAACTTTGAATATAGGTTATTTATAAAAAAAACTGTTAATGTAATAGTTGCTTCATAGTCTTTGAAAATGGCACAAGAATATGTGGTTAAAAAATATTAGGTAGCGTTTTCGTTTTTTACAATTGTCGTTTTTGTATTTCTGGATGATGTATTAGGTTTTTTACCTGCAGATATTCGTATAGCTAACTGTCGTGGTGGAGAACAATGCGTCACCAGTACATCCAATGAGTAAAAGGTTAACTGCAAGTAAAAACTTGAGCGTAACTGGGCTTCTCAGTAGGTGTCCGTGGATGTCTGCCTAAGTGTCCGTGGGTATTCATGCATGTCCGTGTGTAACCGTGCGGATGTCCGTGGGAGTCCGTTGAGATCTATGTGAGTTCATTCAAATACATATTTTTTTACAGTAAAGTATTCTCTTTGAAATGAGGCCGTAACCAGATTTCTATGAGCTTCGTACTAGATATATGTTTCGGAAAATAAGGGGTAATTTTTTTCCAATGTCACGTCTTTTCTTTAAATAATTAACTTTTGGTAATTATTAAAAGTGACGCTTACCTAGTTACCGTTATTTGATAACGGATCTGACTAAAATTTTTTACCACCGACGGTTTCTTTCATTTTCTCTCTACAATGTTTCTTTGATGAATGGAATTGGAAAGTATTTAAAAGAAAGTTAAACAAAAACTTTGTTTTCACTTTCATATGTCAACGAAACGTTGCTGGAAAGAAAATGAAGAAACACGACTGAAGGATACTTATGTCTGATATAATATAGTAAAAGTTTCAGACCGATCCGTCATAAAGTAAGGATAACTGTTCTACGGATGATTTTTGACTATCTCTTTTACCGTGAGGAGCGAAGGGAGGAGAAGCTTGAAATATGGTTAAGCGGTTTTGTTTTTGTCCAAACTTTTGTCAATATATCATAATAAATTTAACATTATGTTCATTTTAGAATTATGGTCACTTAAATATTGATTTTATGTCGTCTATAGCTAAACTTCCTCAATTATTAATAACAGTTCAATTGCCTAATGAATACATTGATATGTTATCAAATAAATTTGACATTGTCTATCATCATAATAAATCAGAATTAATTGAACGCAAATTATTATTGAAATTAATTGATGAAAATCATGTAAATGCTATTTTATTTACAGGTTTTGTTCAAATAGATAAAGAATTATTAGAATATTGTGGTAGTCATTTAAAAGCTTTATCAACTGTATCTGTAGGATATGATCATATTGATGTTAAGGAATGTCAAAAACGTCATATACCTATAGGCTACGTACCAAATGTATCAACAAACTCAATAGGTGAGAAAACAAAGTTTAAGAATAGATTAGTTTGTCTAATAAAAAATGAAGCAAATCAAATTATTTTATAATTAAATAGCTGATTTAACTATAGCATTATTATTAGCCACATCAAGACGACTTATCGAAGGTATAGATATAGTTAAACAAGAAAATTGGAATTGGAATATAACATTTTTATGCGGAAAATCATTAGAGAATTCAACGGTTGGAATTGTTGGATTAGGAAGAATAGGTAGGTAGATTTAAAACTTAACACAAATATAAGAAAAATTCAAAATAAACAAGTTTTTAATTTACTTCCATTTTAGTACAACGATCAAAAGTATAGTTTTTTTATTTTCCAGCAAAATAGACTCTTCCCAATCGTCAAAAAAAAGTCTAGTATCGCCCAATTCATCTAGATTACTAGATTTTTACTCGATTGCAACTACTGTGTAACGACAGTAGAAATGTAGTAATTAAGCGATTGCTAGACTTTTTCTAGTTGCAACTATCAATTTATCGCCCGATAATCGATCGATTTAAGAGCCATTATCCGATAGACTCAGACAGACAGTGATTGCTGATGTCACAGATTTAAATGGTGTTTATACTAGATGTAGGTCTATATGTAACTAGATAATAGCGTCATTCTAAACTCATTCGTTCTCGAATTACGGAGAGGACAAGAGATGGCGCTGCAAATTGGCATTTCTGATCAAGTTTAGAAATAAAGTGTTTTTACCTATTTTCGCGAGCTTTAAGAATCATTCTTAAAGCTCGCGAAAATAGGTAAAAACACTTTATTACTTTTACACCCGTGTTCTAAAGTATAAATTCATAACAAAATATGATATTTTGTTATGAATTTATACTTTAGAACACGGGCTATCTTTTCTACCTTTTCAGATCATAACCCGTAAAATTCTAATCAAAATGAGACGTCTCTCAGCTTGGTACGCCTTTTTCTGAATGAGATCTGTGACATCAACAATCACTGTCGACAGGTGATTGTCTGATTCTCTCAGATAACGGCTCTTAACTATTGCTAGACATGCAGACGCATCTAGTTAAAAGTCCCTTTTCTAACTAGTAATCTAGATGGCAAATAATCGTGTATCGCTCGATTATAGAAGAAATGTATCGAAATTTTTTGCATCAGCCATGTTTGCTTGGGTTTGCGTGTAAACGTTTCTTTTCTAGATTTTCTATTTCAAACAAATATCTAGGTATTAAAAGGCTTCCTTCTTCCCTTCCCCAACAAATCTTCTTAAAGTTCGTCAGCTTGTACAGTACGTCTAGGTACATAATTCGAGATGGTTTTTTTGAAAGATCATACGGTCTTGGAGATAGAGTCTGCCAAAGTTCTAACGGTCGCCGAAAGTTTTAGACAAGACATACTTCAAGAAAATTATATAGCTCCTATGCGTTTCATAATATTCAATCATTCTATTTTATTTTATCAAGGAAAGTTTGCTCAATCCCTCTAAACTCCCATATTATCGCTCTCATGAAATGGTAGGGAAATAACAATTATAAGCTCTTAAGGCATTTTTAGCGCAAGAAATTGGCATTCCTTTTCTTCCATTTCTAGCTTCAAGATCTTGCTCTAAGAAACTCTAAGAAAATATTTTCTAGTCAACAAGTACAAGAACTGACATGACATACAAGAAGAGACAAATATACAGGCATTTCTTGTTTCTTGCTCTTTTTTCTATTATTATTATCTCTGGTCGCTTCTCTTTGCTTCTTGTCCTTTCTTGCCGTTTCTTATTACATCTTGGTTCCAGAAACGATTCTTCAAAACTTATTAAATTTAGGGGGGTTGAAGACTTCTCCGATCTCCTTAAGTCCTAAAGGCTTGCTATCTTATCTTTATTGTTATTTCTATTCCTATTATTCCGCTTTCTTCTTCTGCTTTATTCCTTCAATATCTTCATATGAAGAAATAGGCGTGTTACATAAGAATGTTGGTCTAGGCTAACTTTGCTCCGGGCTATTCGATCATCCTGAAACTTGGGCCTTAAACGTTTTAGATCATGCTCTTCACTTTTGTCTTTTGGAAGAACTCGCTAAAACCTCAAGAAGTAGGGTTTCCAGAAAATCCTAGTTTTTTAGACACCGAGTCTTTTTTGTCATCGATGTGCCAACTTACTGTTTTATGACTTATATAGAGTCTCTAATCATCGCCAAAAGGTTCAAAATAAAAGTTTGAATTGAAAAGTTCGAATTTATGGTAAAATGAGGAGGAGGTTTTCCAAAGATCCTTTAGAAAATCCTGATCACGGGACGCTTGAACTTTGTCGAATCCATAAGCTTGTAATATTTTCAATGCTCTAGTAGAGCATCGATAGCGAAAACGCGAGGTCTTTATCATTTTTCTGAGCCGAGTTGTTGAAGTTCTAAAAAAGTTGATTTTTTAAAATTTTAATTTCAATTTTAAAATTCAAATTTTGAGGTAGAGACTCAGACTTATTTTTAAAATGTTCATCGTTCGATGCTGATTCCGAATATGTAATTGAAAAAAAATTTTCGTCGCTGCGTTTCTCTAAAAGAATTTTTCTCCAGGACTCAGTGTCTAGAAAACGAGGATTTTCTGGAAACCCTACTTCTTGAGGTTTTAGCGAGTTCTTCCAAAACACAAAAGTAAAGAGCATGGTCTAAAACCTCTAGGACCCGAGTTTCAGGATGATCGAATAGCCCGGAGCAAAGTTTAGGACTTAAGGAGATCGGAGAAATCTTCAACCCTCCTAAATTTAATAAGTTTTGAAGAAGCGTTTCTGGAACCAAGATGTAATAAGAGACGGCAAGAAAGGACAAGAAGCAAAGAGAAGCAACCAGAGAGAGAAACAAGGGAAGAAGCAACAGTAGAGCAAGAAACAAGGAATTCGTGTAGAGCTGGGAGATATCTCATTTTAATCAGAAATGTGCAGACTATAATCAGGCCTTATTAAGGAAGGTTTTGGTTGTTTTTTAGAGTTTCTGAAAAACTGGTTTTCCAAAAACCGGGATCTCCAGAGGCCTTTGGAGAAAAATCATTGTGATATTCGGATTCAGCACACTCGATTACCTATTGTCCGCTAAGTTTTAGGGGAAAAGCGATGGGATAGTTGGTGGCCTTCCCTCGTTAGTGAAAAAGAACAAATTCATTGAATCGAAAGGAAAGAATTATATGATGTCACTGAGCAATTGCATCTGTAAGTGGAACAAAACAATAACAGAATATGTCATCATCATTAAACAGCAATTATCTTCCATTAAACTTCTCCCACATACTCAGTTAACGCATTAGTAATAGTAATTTTTAGGCTGGTTATAATGACTTATGTGCTTGCTTACTTTCCTACAGGTTTTAACATATTGTCCTAGTCTGTTTGGAAACTGATTGCTTTTTCAAGTTCTAATGTTTTATGAAAATTTTTTTTGTAAGGTATGGCTGTAGCACGTCGTTTACAATCATTTGCTGTAAAACAAATTTTATATTGTCGTAGTAGTTCAAATGAAAATCAACCTAAAAAGTTGGATAAAGATCTAAATGAAAATTTATTTGAATTAGTTGAATTTAAACAATTATTAAATCAATCAGATTTTGTTATAATAACATGTTCATTAAATGATTATACAAGAAATTTATTTAATTCAAATACGTTTAAACAAATGAAATACGGTGATTCTATATTAATAAATACAGCACGTGGCGGTATTGTTGATCAAAATGCATTATATGATGCATTAATTAGTGGACAAATATTAGCTGCTGGTATGTTTTTCTCTAATTTTTAAGCAGTGTGATATAACTTATAAGTTATATCTTTTCCACATCATTTAGTGTGGATTTGTCGCGGTTCGCCACTTCAACTTTGGCCAACGTTCGCCAATAGATGACGAATGTCCCCGAAAATTAGCGAATGTCCATAGACATGCTTCAATAGACATTCACCATAATTCGCCATGAGACATTCGCTAATCGGCCAATCGGCGAATGTCGCGGGAACATTCGCTAATTATGGTGAATGTCTATTCGCGAAAGTTGAATTGGCGAAAAGCGATTTTACCGCTGACAAAATGTTAAAATGTCACGTAGTGTGATTTATGTAGTAGAACGAAAGGAGCAAAAAATGGGATAAAGCAATTGGAGTATCAAGTTTCACCTTGATTTAGTTATTGACGAGGGAGCCTTCCCAAGTGTATCAGCGCCCTTTCCTCGAAACATACATGACTATATGTAATCGACGATGCTGATTCCGAATATGACTATTCAAAATAGTCATGTGGAATACACGAAATGAAGTAGATCAAATTAGAGTATTATCAGATGGTTCCAATTGAATTTGAATGGATTTTGAGCTCAGATAGGTTCGAGTAGCCTCACATTCCAGTGATAGTGAAAAATAGTCAGTTTTTGTCTCAGTTCAATATTTTTCAAGACGTTTTAGCTGATTTTATCTCCGTTCTAAAACGTTTGATTAAGGGCCCCCTCCTTAGAAATTATCTCCAACACCGTACATTCGATCTTGACGAAACTTTCCGTAAATGTTCGGCACGATGAGTTACGGGAATGAAAAGATTTTTTTGTCTCCGAGTCTTACGGTTTAGGAGTTTTCCAGAGATCAAGGTCCAAAAAGGACCCTGAACGGCGTCCCAAGATTTTTTAATATACTTCAAGCTGGAGAGTT